ATTTAGGTTTTTGAAATTCTTCTTTTTAACCCTCGACGCAAAAAGGAGTTTAATTCATATTCTTTGAGTTACTATGGTATGTACCCCTTGTTACACTGTGATTTACTTGATCCTACTTGTGGTCTAGTATACATGAAATTCTTTAAAATGAGAGTAAAATTTAAAATATTTCATGTTGCCTATACTAACGTTTCTTGCAAAGAAAGCCAGAATGGCTCGCACATGGAGGTTTTTTTCGACTTATGTGAAACTTATTACTTATAGCCTATACTTATTCTAATGTATGACCTATATTAGTAGTAGTAAGTTCCATTAGTAGTTTTTATTTCAAAAATTAACAAACATCCACACGCGACTCCATACAATCTTTCGCATTTATAATAGCTATTAGTTGTTAATAATAAAGAAAGAACCCTTCGTGAGGGTTCTTTCTATAAGGCAGTATCATTATTCATATTATAACAAAATTAATTATTGTATGTTTGTTTGTATATATATGTCGAATGGGAACGTGGGCGTTCGTTTGGTGACGAGTCGTCGCCCATTACAAATCCTCTAAATAATATACGGTTTGCACTGTCTAAGTTTAATAAAGATTGCCGAACAAATAAAATCAGTTCAAAATGAGCTATTATTGCTCACGTGGTGAAATCGGTAAGGGGTTCGAGCACTACCAAACAGCTCAACGTCTAGATCACTAATGTCACAAACTAATATACATCAGACGGGAATCCTAGAAGAGCCAATACGGGCACGGCACATTTAAGAGTTTGACACGGTTTTTTTTTATTTTCGCTTAAAATATTATTGCCCAATAGGTCTGTTTGGGGTTCGTTCGTTTAAGGTTATTTTATTAAAACCAAAAATGGCAAACTTTATAATTATTTAGAAAATTATTAGCACCAATAAATTAGTAGATTCTTTAAACCTAAACTTAAATTTGACCACAATGTATCCTTGTCGTTCTCTTAATAAAATGAAAAGGAGAGACTGATGTTAAATTTAGTTTTAAGTTTAGAGAATCACGCCAGAATTGGGCACTAGTAGGTGTATAAAGTAGAGTACCTATGCTCGACGGGGATAAAAGTGCCTACCTGAATTCTTTGCTTTTACATACTTGAATACATTGCTTTATTCAGGATTCTTACCATAACCCGGGACATAATACACTGCTTTATCCCCTTGTTGCATAATCTACCTTAATACGTGCTTCAAATCATTTTTTCTAAAACATACCTACAATAAATAAATCTGGAAAATAACACACTTATTATGATCAAATGTTAGTAAATTTCTAATATAATTATTTGGTAGGTACCCATAGCCATGGTCATGACATGGCACATACATTTTATTTTACAAGATTCAGAAAATTAATTCACAAGATAGAAGAAGAAGTTAATATAAAACTACATCAAACATTAAAACTGAGATTCACCTTTCAAGACCAATTTCCGTTTCAATGACGCATATGAAAAAAAACTAAGGAAAGTTAAGTTTTAGCTTAGAACTGTAGTGTCGATGTAGTTATTAAACTACATATAATAAATTAAGGATATTAAATTGCAAGATGTAACTTAATTTTACACAACTGGCTGATTTTGTTTGATTTTTAAAGTTGCGGCGGGTGTGAGAGTGACTGTTGAGTGGTGACGCTCATGGCACTTCAAGCTTATGCAGTGAGCTTATTATGTTCTGTAATTATTCAACATTTACGAGCTCCGTTAGTCTAATGGTTGTAACATGGCCGCAACCGTCCTCTTTGTATATTCCATCCACACCTAAATTATGATTTCACATAAATGAGCATTACTAATCGTTCTTTTTAGGGTTACGTAGTCCTGACAAGGAACAGGAACCCTTATAGTTTCGTCATGTCTGTCTATCCGTCTAGGTTTTGCTAGGAGGCTGTTGGTACTAGGGGGCTGTTATTTTGTAGGGGTTTAGTAGAGGGTAGCGAGATAACATGTAAAAGTAGGGATGTTTTTTTTCATAGTCTACCCGTATCGTATTGGTATCGTTAAATAGGTCTTTCAAAATGGGGGTTGCTAAGATTTTTTTTTTATTATTTAAGAATCCGTTTGTGAATTATTATATTAAACTTTTAAGTGCTCATTTTAGTTCGAGTAGAATTCTCCCCCCTCCCTTTTTAAACTAAAATAATAGCTTAAAAAATCTGATGATCTGAATGAATGATAATAGTGCTTTTCATGAACATTTAAGTAAAATTATAACGCTCAGGATCATGGGTAGATTAGATTAGATGTTAGTTTTAGAGTAGTATTCGTTCAACTTATGTATTACAAAATTTCTTACCTTACCTAATAACAATTCCTTAGTAGCAGGGCTGTCTGTGGTCGAAGGTTCCACACAAGAGAGGGGCCCAGGGGGGAGTGCAAATCGTAAATGGCCCGGGGTTCCAGATTTTAAAATAGACGTGGGGGGTACGGGAGACCACACCTTAGTAGCCAACATGTCAAGTTTCCCAGTAAGCTCAGCTTTCCTGTGCGATCTATGAACATGATCTTGGTTTTGGAGCTGTTTATCGAAAGTCTCAGTTCTATGCTGATGCGCACCAGCCTCCATAATCCGGGATTAGTTTATGCAGATTTGTTTTGCTTAACTCGGGTAATTTTTGATACACGATATAGCCGCGTTTTATCGCCGCGAACATAGGTCGTACTAGAGAAGCGCAACAGTGCTTCGAAAAGTAATGTGATGTTTATTACATCACTCGCTTAAGTAATATTACCAAGAAGCATTACGCATTACTTCGCATTACGTTATATTGTGATGTAGAAGATTCGATAGTAGTAGTGTCTCACAGACAGACGCCGCCCCGGGCGCTTAATATACACATAGGACAGGTCGCAGCCGCAAGCCGCGTCTGCCTATGAAACACTTTAAACTTAATGAAAAATAAACAATAGAAATTATAATAAAATATAAATATGAAAATATAAGGTCACAATGTATAATAAGAGTTATAATTGAACAATAATAATGAACACAGACTTAAGTACCTACCTAAGAATTATTGTATACACGCAGAATGTAACTCAAGGCGACGACTGCCGCTGTGTGCCGGGACTATCGGGGTCAGTACTTGGTGGCTATGATAAAGGAATAGAGACTAAGGGAGGGACTATAGTAGAATGCACCTGTGGTTTAGGGGATACAGTTGGTGTAGCAAGCCCTTAACGGCTGATGGAAGGAGTGGTAGAGGTAGAAGAGGTCGAGGAAGAGGAACGAGAGAATGAAGACAGGGAAGTGTCGTTAAATGCCTTAATGTTGTCAAATATATAAGTGATAAAACGTACCACAAACTCAACCAGCCTACTATGTCGACTGAGATCAGTAAAATTGAATAGGTCCTGGACCTTATTACCGCAGAGAGCTACATGCGAGTGGAGCTGCGAAGCAAATCGCGGGCACTCGGTCAGAAGATGAATAGGGCTTTGTGAAGTAATGGAGTCACAAGGGCAAGAATCCGCTGAAGTAGGTTCTATGCGCACCATGGCCTATAAGAAATTGTGAAAATTGGAAAAAAGGTGTAGAGTGACATCGGAAGTCCCGTATGTTCTGGAGGAAAGGAAACAAGTTTCTCGTATGGCTGCCATGGGGAGCATTTCGGTAGCGCTCTTCTCATTCTTCTTGGGCCTGAATGCGAAAGAGGCGTTTGACAACTGAGATGGAGTTATGCCAGTAATCTGGCGCGCTTCTGAGAGCTGCCGCCTCTCCAGCCTCCACATCTGCGCGTTCGTTACCAGGAATACAACCCAACAGAATCTGATCTTGCCGATTGGTTTATGATCTATAATAGCCTTATGGTTAAGGGTCACAAGGGGCATAGTACTACTCCACTGTTGCAGCGCCTGACGGGCAGAGAGCGAGTCGGAACAAATCAGCGCGTCCGTGTTCTTTCTGCCGACGGCCAGCTGATAGGCTCCCAGAATGGCAAATAGTTCAGCTTGGAACACTGTACAGATTTTGTGCAACTTTTGCTTTTTAACTGTGACGGTTGGGACGTCAAGATCGACACAGAAGACTCCAACCTTATCGTCATCCTGTTTACTACCATCTATGTAAATCTGCACAGTGTTCCCCAGGCATGCAAAACTAATCCTCTCTGGGGTGGTAGCAACTGCGTTATCGGGTGAGATACGGAGAGCCGGATGGGGTAGAAGAGGCACGGGAGTGGGAGACTCCAAGGACAGTTAGTTCATCAGTAAGTACACTCGTAGCGTCGAATAGAAATGCACCCCAACATATTTTCACATTGACAATTGGCTGTTTTTATTGGCTCTTGGCTTTCCCAGTATGGGCAATGAATAAAAAAAAACTGAAAGTTTTAGGGTGCGGCCAGTGTGCACTCAGATTCAGATTCAGATTCTGAAAACAAGCGCGAGACATAAACAGTGTAGTCTAAGCAGGTTGCCTGCTTTTTCTCGCGCTTTGTTTTCTGAGTCTGAATCTGAATCGGAATCAGGAGTGCACTCTGGCCGTACCCTTCGACTACACTGTTTATTTCTCGCGCTTGTTTTCGAAATCTGAATCTGAATCTGAATCTGAGTGCACTCTGGCCGCACCCTTAGGCGCAATTTCATAGAGTGCAATTGGCGTCTTATTTTAATTATTCTTAAATTCATTCAAAGTAATAGGTATTGTGAAATAAAATTGGTGTGATTTTGTTACAATCGTCTGCGCAACTGAAAAAATAAAGTGGAATCTTTAAAATAAACGCTGTTCCGGTTAAGTGGAGGTAAGAAATTTACTGTAGTGTTGACTACCTCACAAAAGCTTTTCGAAAAATCTGAATCTATACATTTCGTGCCAAACACTCCAAGAAGCATTAGAATGAGTCACACCGAAATTCTAATTTTATGAAAAAGAAGATTAATAATATTTATGACTAGGCTGTATGGTCATTATTCCCATTGCCTTCCCTGAAAAGGGAGAATGTTACAAAAACTGACATTGACATTTGCGTGTAAATTTATCAATTGTAAACAAACAAGAATTAACAAACAATGTTCCGACGCTGTGAAAATACGAAAATTATGGCCTGTTGTATATGTCTTGCTAATAATTTTACTGATGGGATAATGTTAGATACCGGAAGTCCTTGGTTACAATATTATATTTTCTGTATTGGTGTTACTGTAAGTATATTCAGGCAAACAACTATGCAATTTATTTACCCTTATATAAAACTATTTTTATTAACTGTTAAACATATATTATTAATTCTGTTACATACAAATATTTTGGTTGAAACAATGTCTAAAGAGGAGGTTATAGAAACAATGTCTCACTCACATTATCTACTTGAATATCAATTTGGGTAGGTAAGCAAAAACATACATAAATACCTAAAAACTTTTCTATATTCAATTGATTTAATCTACACTGTTTCATTAGATTTATAATCAAAAGTAATTTAAGTAGTCAATTTTGATCCCAGCCCAAGAAGGTATGCAATAGAAAACAGACATTTTATACTTAGTTATTTAGACAATTCATGAAACAACCTAAACCAATATATTTATAGGCAAAACAAATTTAAAAAATAAAATCAAATAAATGGGTTATACCTTCCTTTGTGATGTAAGAATTTGAATACTCCCTGTTTTTAGTACACTAATGTGTAATGTAAACAATTGTTTGGAAATGTAAAAGCACATTTAATTCAATTGAGAATAGTATAAGCGTGGTTATTTCTACTTATTTATTTTTTTACAACTTCAAATGTTTTATCATTTATATTTTATCTACGTTCAAATATTTTATCGAACTTTATTTACTTTACTGCTAGATTTTTATATCCGAGAACTTAACTAAAAATAAGGTAGTAATGAATATGAACTCCCATCAAGATCAGTCTATTATGTCCGCACTGGTGTGCAACATGTCACTCCTTTGGATAGAAAAGGAAGAATGAGCCATGCATGATGCACCATGTAGTCTCAGTGGGGATTGGTGGGTACTAACTGACAGCAGGCAAATGTTTATTACATACAGACCCGTCTTTCCCAGTGGGCACTTTGGGCAAGTGCCCAGGGCCCTGCGATTGATAGGGGCCCACCTCAGATCACAAAAACAAAGTCCCTAGTTCCTGTCAGATCACCAAACAGGGGTCATAGGGGCCCCATTATCCTAATATGCCCAGGGCCTCCAATAAGTCAAAGACGGCACTGATTACATATGTAAACCATCAAGGAGCTTGAGATATTTTTTTTTGTTCACCTATCCTATGGCTGGTTATTGCTGGATCTGAGACAAATGCAGCAGTGGTTGTGTCTGCAATACGACCACTGCTCCAGTCCTTAGGATTTGTCATATAAGTACATTGACATAAATGTCATCTTATGTTCTTTGAGTTGCAATTAATTGCAACATAAAATTACCATTATAATATCATTTTGTTGCATTAATTAGATAAGTGCCGATGATATCCCTAGAAAACTTTGCGGTGAATGTCAAATAAAACTGAAGAATTTCACAAATTTTAAAGAGATGGCACACAGATCTGCTAACCTTTGGCAGTCTTTTATCAATGTAAGTAATATTTAACCATTTTGATATAATACACCTACCTTTAATCAAAAAATTATGAAATGATATACTGAAATTTTTGCTCTGTGGATTAATTTTAGAATGAAGAAAAACACATAGTTATTGATGTACAACAAAAGAAAGAAAATGAATATAACTTGTTTAATGATTGCATGGATATTGATGAGACCTTTTGTGAGGAAGCTGAATGTGACAAAGAAGTTGATATAAAATTTCTAAATCAAACTATTAAAACAGATGTTTTTAATGAAAATGAAGATATAAAATGGAATATTAGTGATATAAAAGTGAAGGAAGAATATACAGATGATAACAAAAATGATGAAAAATTTGGTAAGTCTAACATTGGTGTCCATTCTGGGATGATTCTCTAAACCTGAAATAAAATCTGACAACAGTGTATCCTTGTTATTCTCTATAAGAATTAAAAGTAGAGACTGATGTTAAATTTAGTTCAGAGAATCAAGCCAGAATCGATACCATTATGATGGAATATAGCATCATTCAAAATCTCTTTAGCTATTTCGAAATAAGAATGCTTATTTTAAAACCACCTAATTGTGCTAAGTGTATTGTGTATATATGTGAAAGGTGTATTGTGGAATGTTTATTTTTACTCAACTGTGTGATGTGTCGCACATAGGTGTATTTTGCTGATCTACCCGGTCATAATAATTGATTAAGTTTTTTTTAACCTGGTGAGTTTCACTGGTTAACTATAGGATTATAATTTACTAGCGGCCGCCCGCGACTTCGTACGCGTGGAGTTAATTAGAAATAAAGGTTCACTGCTCGATCCCCATAGGTGATAGTATGATAATATGTAGCTTATATGTTGACCCGCCTTCTTAATAATATTCGTGACAAATTTGAAGTAAATCCATGCAGTACTTTTTGAGTTTATCCCAGACATACATACAGACAAACAGACAATAATTCTAAAAACAATATTTTTGGCTTCGGTTTCGATAGTAGATCACACCCCAAGTATTCTTTTAAAAAAATATTCAATGTACAGTTTTGACTTTCTTACCATTTTATTATATATTTAGATTTATTGATGAATTATATCATAATATTAAAAAAATATAATTTAGTAATTCTTCATTTTATCTATCCAATTTAACCACACAAAGACACAGGTATGCGCGTTTATTGAAAAAAAAATACCATTTGTCGTATCCCCCCTTTTTGAGAACACTCCCTCTTCTGCCTCAGCTAGTATCGGTATTCGTTGACATATCGAGCGACTTCCAGTTCCGAGTACATCTGGAGGGCAAGACCAAACTATCCTCCAAGAAGCTTGGTGTGCTCAATAAATCGAGGGGGTACTTCACACCTGCCCACCGACTGCACCTTTATAAAGCAGTTTTGGCCTCACATAGAGTACTGTTCTCATTTTTGGGCGGGGCACCTCAGTACCAGCTTCTCCCTCTAGATCGCATCCAGCGCCGAGCGGCTCGAATTGTCGATGACCAGGACTTGATTGGCTTTGCGTAGAGATGTAGCTTCGCTCTGCATCACATTTATCATGGGGAGTGTTCTGAGCGTTCGGGTTAATACCAGCTGCTGCTTTTCGCTATCGTACCTTGCGATAATTTCATCCCCACCATCTTGATGCATAGCTATTCACAACCTTGCGATTTTGTCGAAAGTTTCAACACAAAACTGTGGAGTACATTGTCACCCACCAGCAGTGTTTCTGGTCCAATGCGACTTGAAAACTCTCAAAAAAGAGCGTACTCCTTCCGTAAAGCCCGGCATCGCTTTTCATACGTTATTAAATATAAATTTAAGGTGGGTAGGTGATTACCTTCAATTATTTTTACAAGTATCATTACAACTTTTGAGCGAGAGCAAAGCGACGTGAGGGGTTCGTGCAAACACCTGGACCGGTTCGTTTTTTCATATCTACAGGTTGCTCAATAAATATGATTTTAATTTAACTTTTGAAGTTATTTGCAGTGATACTTTTTTTGAAGTTAGGATCTAAACCATTTAGCAAGCGGTGAATTAAGTATTGCATAGTTCTTTTCCCACATACATTATTTGAAGCAATAAAAGTTATTCAGTTTTGTTTTATAACTTGTCGTGTGTTAATTTTATGTTAATATCTGTGCTGTAATGTTTTATTAAGAAATTGTTCTTTTAGTAAATTACTAGCGGTCGCCCGCGACTTCGTACGCGTGGAGTTGTTAGAAATAAAGGTTCACTGCTCGTTCCCCGTAGGTGATAGCGTGATAATATGTAGCCTATATGTTGACCCGACATCTTAATAATATTCGTGCCAAATTTGAAGTAAATCCATGCAGTACTTTTTGTGTGTTATCCCGGACATACATACAGACAAACAAACAAAAATTTTAAAAACTATATTTTTGGCTTCGGTGTCGACTGTAGATCACACCCCAAGTGTTCTTTTAAAAAATATTCAATGTACAATTTTGACTTTCCCTCCATTTTATTATATTTATAGATAGTGTAATTTATAGTGAATTGATAAAACATGGCAGTTTGCAAAAAGTTTGTTATCATTGTTTCCATAGTTATTTTATTTTAGGCGATACAATTAGTTTCAATATTCTAGTTTGTAATGTATTTATGTTGTTAAGAACATACTAACTTTTGAATGTTCTACCGTAACTAGTTATACCGTAATTTGTGATCAAGTCAGCCAACGAGTTGTATAACATAAGTAAGATTTTGTAAGAAATTATCTTCTTGATAATCACTATATTAGCCAAGAAAGCTCTTAAGTTTATCACAAGCAGTACTTATATGATACTGCCAATTGAAATTGCAGTCTACAATCAGCCCGATATAAGTATGTGTATCTACTGTTTCAATACTAGGACATTTGCATTGCTCTATATTCATGTGACAGCTGTGGTTATGAGCTTTTAACCCAATAATTGTTTCACAGTACGTCTTGTGAATGCTGATCGTATATGGACGAGTTTCGTTTTACTAGTATCAATAGCGAGCCCGTTGTCGTGGCACCACATTTTAAATAAATCAAAGTCCAGTTGCATTCTCTATGTAAGAGATAACCATGAGATAGTATTGTTCGCGGATCATACATCACTTTTATTTTAACTCAAACGCAAAGAAACAGTTATCGACGGTCACATCACAATACATATAAGAAAATTTATTACTTGTAAGAAAAAATAATAATTTGTTCCTTGAAAACAGTGATGTTCACACACTTACTACAGGAAACAAAAATAAACTACCTTTTCATTAATAATTCATTAAAAGTTGCCCATTGACGACCTCCGTGTCCGAGTGGTTCGTACGCCAGGTTTCATGGTGTCGCCAACTCGAAGTCCCGGGTTCGAATCCCGGTGGGGGCAAATATTTGTGTGATGAATACGGGCATTTCTATTCCAGTCATGGATGTTAAAAATGTTTTTATATATACATATACTTATATGTACAGTATAATTATGTATTCTATCCGTTAACCTAGGAACCCATATCACAAGCCTATAGTGCTTACTTTGGGGCTAGGCTAATTGGTGTGTTGTAAAAAAAAGGTCTTTGTGTTCGCTTATACAATAAAGTCCCAAGCAATATCCAAGAGTTAACTGTAAATAAATTCAAAGATATTATAAAAAATAGATTATTTTACAGTCAAAAATGCTTGGGATTTCCAATTATTCGAACAGGTTTTCTATATTAAATAAATCATGATTGTATTGACGTAGTAACAACATAATGATTTGTAAATGTTGTTACATTATACTTTTAATGTTGTGGAGATTTTTTCGCTCGTTTTGCTCCGCAACTAAAAAATATGTTCAATAACGAGTGGTAGGGAAAATTTTTTTGGGCCTCCCCCAAGGATCTCCACACCGATCGGTCCTGCGCCACTCGCATCCATCGGCTTCCCGCGACCTTCATAAGATCGTCGGTCCACCTTGTGGGGGGCCTACCCACAGAGCGTCGTCCGGTGCGTGGTCGCCATTCTAGAACCTTTCCGCCCCAACGGCCATCGGTTCTTCTTGCTACGTGTCCCGCCCACTGCCACTTCAGCAGAGCCATTGTTTGAGCGATATCGGTAATTTTGGTTCTCCTACGGATTTCCTCATTTCTGATTCTATCGCGTAGGGAAACACCAAGCATCGCTCTCTCCATTGCTCGCTGCGTGACCTTGAGCCTTCTTATGAGACCCGCAGTAAAGGACCACGTCTCGCTTCCGTAGGTCATCACTGGCAACACACACTGGTCAAAGACTTTTGTCTTGAGACACTGAGGTAATTTGGACGCGAATATTTTTCGTAGCTTCCCGAACGCTGCCCATCCGAGCTGGATACGACGAGAGATCTCTTTCTCAAAGTTGGACCTACCTAACTGGACTGTCTGTCCTAGGTAGACGTAACAGTCGACAACTTCGAGTGTAGTGTTCCCAATTTTGACTGGAGCGGGTACTACATGGGCATTCGACATAATTTTCGTCTTCTCCATGTTCATCTTAAGACCCACTTTTTGGGAAGCACTACTAAGATCTTCGAGCATCGTGTTAAGATCTTCCAAGGTCTCAGCCATAAGAACTACATCATCGGCGAAACGAAGGTGCGAAAGGTACTCGCCATTGATGTTAATGCCTCGTCCTTTCCAATCCAGAAGCTTAAAAATATCCTCCAATGCAGCTGTGAACAGTTTCGGAGATATCACATCTCCCTGTCTCACGCCTCGCTTCAATTGGATAGGATTGGAGCTCTGGTTCTGTAATCGGACTGACATAGTGGCGTTTTCGTAGAGGTACCTTAATACCTCGACATACCTGTAGTCTACTTGGCAACTTTGGAGAGACTGTAACACCGCCCAGGTCTCAATCGAATCGAAAGCTTTCTCATAGTCCACGAACGCCAAACAAAATGGCAGATTATACTCTTCGGTCTTCTGTATAACCTGCCGTAGCGTATGAATGTGGTCTATGGTACTGAAGCCTTTGCGGAAACCAGCTTGTTCGAGAGGTTGGAAGTCGTCAAACCTGCGTGCGAGACGATTCGTAATGACTCTCGAAAACAACTTATAAACATGGCTAAGAAGCGAGATTGGTCGATAGTTTTTCAAGAGTGCTTTGTCACCTTTCTTGAAGAACAGGACAACCCCACTTCTGGCCCATGCTTTTGGCGTTCTGCCTTCAAGGATGATGGAGTTGAAAAGCCTCTGGAGGACTTTAAGTATCGGCTTACCGCCCGCTCTCAGAAGTTCTGCTGTGATTCCATCATCGCCCGCCGCCTTGTTGTTTTTAAGTTGTTTGAGAGCCATACTAATCTCATATAGGCTGACGTCCGGGATATCTTCAGTGTAGTGTCGAGTAAGCTTGGCTCTGGGGTCTCTAGCCTTGCTTTCAACAGGTGCTTGCGTGGAATATAGCTGTCCATAGAAACTCTCAATCTCCCTCAGGATTTCAGCCTTAGACGAAATGATGCTACCGCTGTCAGTCTTCAGCTTTGTCAATTGGCTTTGCCCAATAGACAGATCTCTCGCGAACACTTTGGAGCCTTTGTTGCGCTCGATAGCCTCTTTGATACAATGTGTATTAAATCGGCGAAGATCGCTCGTCAAGGACTGTGATATCTGTCTATTTAGCTGCCGGTACTGACTTGCATCTCCTGAATTCTGTAGTCTCATTTCGTTCCGCTGTTCCATGAGTAGGAGAGTTTTGTCAGAGAGTTTCTTAATTTTGGTACGGTGGGCTTTAAAATACTTGGACCCTACCGTACGGACAGTATCTACCACAGTGTTGTTTAGATCGTCCACATCTAGGCTGTTCTCAAGGGATTCGAAGCGGTTTTGAAGCTCGAGTTGAAAGCTCTCGGGGTTCTGTAGTTGTGCAGGTATTGGTCGGAGCGTCGACTTCATCATTCGAGATCTTTCGAGCTTTATGTTGATATTCAATGTGCCTCGTACTAACCGGTGATCACTTCCCGTTTTAACGGCGTTAATCACAGAGACATCATTGAATATTAGCTTTTTCGTCGACATGATAAAGTCGATCTCGTTTCGGACTTTACCGTCCGGACTCATCCAGGTCCATTTTCGATTTTGGGGTTTCCTGAAGAAGGAGTTCATCATATAGAGGTTCTCCTTCTCCATAAAATCTACTAACATCTGTCCTCTGGCGTTCCGTTGTCCAACTCCAAATTGCCCCACTCTCAACTCATGACCGCAACGCTTCCCCAACCTTGCGTTAAAGTCCCCCATCACAACCGTGTAGTGTGTTTTGTAGCTATGCATGGCTTTAGTGATCTCCTCATACATAGCTTCCAATTCGTCATCAGGGTGCGTCGAGGTCGGCGCATAAACCTGTATGACATTCAACGAATATCGTTTTGATATTCTGAGTATCAGGTATGCTACCCTGGTCGACACACTTCCGATGGTGATGACGTTGTGGATAAGGGACTTGTGGACGATAAACCCGACACCGCCTAGGGACTGTTGATCGCCCTCCCGGTAGTATAGCAAGTTACCGGAATTGAGGATTATCGAGTCCTCTCCCTCTCTTCGGACTTCAGATAATCCAATAATATCCCAACGTAACTTACTAATAGCTTCTTCCAACTCTATTAGCTTAGCATCGGTCCTCAGTGTGCGCGTGTTGTAGGTTGCCAGGTCGAGTCGTCGTAGGTGGTAGCCGGATCTTACCCGGGGATTCTTAGCACCCCTTGCCCCGCCGTTACCATAGCTGCTACCGTGGCTAGGAATAGCAGGGCTGCCGGGGACTGGGGGCCAATCTTTAATTGTGCTACTCATTTCTTGGGGGGGTTTTGCCATAATCGCCACGCTTGGCAGGCGGGTTGGCGATCGCAGTACAGCCAAGATATTGTAACAAGACGCTGCTGCCCGTCTTCTGCTGGCTGTGTTCCCTTAGTCGCCTTTTACGACACCCACGGGACGAGAGGGTAGGACGGACACTATTCTAGGCCGGCACACACACGGCACTATATAAAGATATATTGATTTCTGATTGAGTGATGGTTTACGGAAGCGAAACGTGGTCGCTTACTATGGGTCTCATAAGAAAGCTCAAGGTCGGACAGCGGGCAATGGAGAGAGCGATGCTTGGTATTTCCCTGCATAATAGAATCAGAAATGAGGAAATCCGCAGGAGAACTAAATTAACCGACATCACTCGAAGGATTTCTCAGCTCAATGACTGACTCATAGCGAGTACAACTGATAGCCGGGCGGAAAGGTTCTCGAATGGCGACCATGCACCGGACGACGCTCGGTGCGAAGGCCCCCCACCAGGAAGATCCCGGGAAGCAGATGGATGCGCGTGGCACAGGACCGATCGATGTAGAGATCCTTGGGGAGGCCTATGCACAGCAGTGGGTGTCGTACGGCTGAGATGATGATAATGATAATAATGATGGATTATTCTTGTTGTCACGTGGCATTCGCTATTTTGCAAGACAAATAAATAGAGACAAATTAATATGCTTTCTTATTTTCTGTGAGCAAAAATTTTTTACAATCATATTTAGTTATTGCTACGTAAATATTAGAAGAGGGGGGTCACCGAGGGAGGGGGAGAATCACTTAGAGTGAGGGGGAGAATCACTTAGGGGGAGGGGAGAGGGTATAAAAATGAAAAAAAGTGGCAAATCATAGTATATTTGTTTCTTAGGTTTTCACGCACATCACTCATTAAATAATATTTTTCTTATTTATTTCGGAAGTCGTGTTTTTGTTTTAATATTAATATTATCATTCAACAGGTAATGGGACCTTTTCTTATGAATACGGAGAAGACAAAAGTAATTGCACAGATAATAAAAAAATAAAACGCAAGAAAACGCTAAAACCAGAAAAAATAAAAAATAGCAAAAAGGAAGTGGCTCCTAGCCGTGATTGTGGTAATTCTTTTTTGTTATTGTTTTGTATTTATAAAGTTAGAATAAAGCTTAGAGCAGACAAACATACCTTTTTTATATATAAATACTGTTTACCCACTCTGTGGCAGGTTTGTAGTGCTTTTTTTGTTTTTATTTTTCTTTTCCCGTCATCATATTTTTGTTTTCGAGATATTCTGTTCTCTTGTCTCTCTTCATCTTGTCTTTCGTTCCCTTTTTCTTCATTATATATTTTACACTTTATTTTTCTTAAATTATCATTATTCTTACATATTCATTTTCTATTTATACTAGTATTTATGTTTACATCTTTGTATACCGCACTAGTACTCTTTAAGTCGTTATTTATTTTTTATTATAAACATTTGATTTACCTTTCTTTTATCACATTGATTTTTTTACATTCCTTCATCACTTTTTTTTAATTTGATTACTTTGTTTTACTGTTTATTCTTATTATACAGGGTGTAAATAAACCTTTAACGAAGTCGACGGCTACATATTTTCCAAATCATGACCATCGATTTTTTCTTCTGGACCATACCTGGGAAATTTCTGGTTATGGAGATATTGAAGGTCAAAGTCACAAATTTTTTCAAGATTTTTACATTAGTATTTGCAAAACATTATAAAGAAACTTTTTGATCGTCACATTTACACACACGCACACATAATACACATAGGCACATTCTTTGCGTAGTGCCACAGTAGAGCGCCGCGCTATACATTTATACCTATTGTATTTTAATTATATCGTGCTTACATTTATGTTATTATATACCTTATATTCTATTCTTATCCTATTCAGGAATTTTCTACTGCATTGTTTAATATTTCCTACGATTCAATTTTCTCTCCCTCTTCATTGGTGTTCTGAGCCACATCCGTTGCTCTCACACCTTTATCGGGATGGAATGATTCCATGAGTGTATCAGGTTGGCTTCCGCAAGGGGAGGTTTCAAAATTTTAATTTTGCTGCCTCTACTTAATTTAGCCTTCCCGATATCTACCTCCTTGGTTCCCATTCCACCCCATTCAGCATTTACCTAGATGTGGCTTTCAGCACCAACCCTTTTCGTTCCTATCTACAAAGAGACAAACGATTGACGACATACATACCTTAGGCTATAATGTGGCAATATTTAAGTGCCAGTAGACGTACTATTTAAATTTTTTTAGTTACTACCCAGAGATTTTAATAAATTCAAAAAATTCAAAATTCAATATCGTTTATTCAGTCTAGGCTGTTACAAGCACTTGTCGAAAAGCTACGCCATCGGTTCGCAAAACTACGGCGGGAGACCTTGTACTGAGAAGAACCGGCAAGAAACTCAGCAAGGGCTGCTTTTTTCTCCCTGTTTTATTTCATACAGTGTCGTCCAATTGAAAGTTGACATCAAACTTGCAAACATGTGTTGAGGTCAACTTCCATCACATAATGTCAAATATGTAACAATCAATGAATTTACTAACAATAACTGCAAAGATAAGTCCCAAAATAGCAAGAAACAATTTTCAAAATAAAATGAACAAGTATATGAAAGGGAGTAAGTGCAAGGTTCTCTTCAAAACTCTTTCTATAACTGGGAGCCTTAGTTTTAATATAACTTTTGAAAAATTATCTACAAGTAAAATTACAACCAGGCCGTTTTATCATTCAAATATTGATTGACAGTATAATATCCTTTCATAAGTAAACAATTCTTAATGTGTATTTTAAATTTATGAGGAGGCAAATCAAGGATATCAATAGGAATCTTATTATAGAAATGTATACCTTGACCCATAAATGATTTATGAACCTTCTGTAACCTGTAATTTGGTATCTTGAGTTTATTTTTATTCCTTGTATTAAAAGAATGTATGTCACTGTGTTTTAGATAATAGTTAATATTGCTTCGAACAAAAAGTATGCAATTATAAATGAATTGAGAAGCAACAGTCAAAATCCCGATTTCTTTAAATTTTTCTCTAAGAGATGTTCTAGAACTAAGTTGATAAATAGCCCTTATAGCTCTTTTTTGCAAGATAAATATAGTTTCAATATCGGCTGCTGATCCCCAGAGAATAATACCATAGGATACAATACTATGAAAGTAACTAAAGTATACAGTTCTAGCAGTAGCTACATCAGTAAGTTGTCTTATTTTACGTATGGCATAGGCTGCTGAACTAAGTTTACCAGCTAGCAGAGAAATATGAGGATACCATTGCAATTTCGAGTCTATGGTTATACCTAAGAATATCGTTGACTCAACTAAATCTAGGTTTTCATTGTTTAGTTTAATTCTAATGGTTTCGCTTCTAACATTAGGTAAAGTGAATTTAATGCATTTGGTTTTATTTGCATTTAATTTTAAGTTATTTACATTAAACCAGTGCAATACTTGTGAGAGAGCATTATTTACATCGTCAAAGTTATTCTTGTATCGGTCAACCTTAAATAATAAAGAAGTATCATCAGCAAACAATACGATCTCACACAATTTTTCCACAAAAAATGGCAAATCGTTTATGTACAGTAAAAATAGAAACGGACCTAAAATCGATCCCTGGGGAACGCCCATTTTCACATAAGATCCAGATGACTTAACACCATTTACCTCTACAGTTTGAACTCTGGAACTGAGATACGATAGTAGCAAATTTTGGGCTGCGCCTTTGATTCCATAGTGATTTAATTTTAACATCAGCGTCTGGTGCTCAACGCAGTCAAACGCCTTGGATAAGTCACAGAATACCCCAAGAACATTCTGCGACTTCTCCCAGGCTTCCATTATATGTCTTATAAGTGCAACACCCGCATCCGTTGTTGATCTACCCCTAGTAAAGCCAAATTGATTATTATGTAACAGTTTGTTCAAACTGACATGCGATAATAATTGATCTAAAATATTTTTTTCGAAAATTTTACTTAATACCGGTAATATTGATATAGGTCTGTAATTACCGGGATCATCTCTTATGCCGTTTTTGAAGAGAGGGATAACTTTACTATATTTCATAAGGTCTGGAAAATCACCTTGATCAATACACTTATTGAATATATCTGCAAGATAAGGAGCGATAACTGTTATTATACTTTTAGTAATTTTAATAGACATTCCAAACAAATCACACGTATTTTTCTTTTTAAGTGAGTTAAAGCATTTTATAATATCCATAAAATCAACATGTTTAAACGTAAACAGGTTATTACACCGAGGCACACACGTCTCTAGCAAACTCTTAGCACCCGCTGGCGTCGAATTCAAATTAGAAGTAGTGATTAATGGTATATTAACAAAATATTCATTAAAAGTATTGGCAATCTGTTCTTTTGTTTTAATTTGAATATTATCTACTTTAAGTGCGATCCCATCATCGAGGGTTCTTTCTTTACCAGTTTCTCTATTAATAACATTCCATGTCGTTTTAATTTTATTATTAGATTTTATGATTTTATTTTTTATGTAATTGGATTTGGCTGTTGCACATACACTTTTGAATGTTTTTGAGTACCTTTTAACATAATCAATGAAACCCTGAGAGTGATTGTACTTCCTTAAGTAGTACAAATCATAAAGTTTATTTCTGCTCTTATAAATACCAGACGTAGCCCAGTCACAGAAGTTCAACTTTTGAGTTAATTTCAAAGTTTTAAGCGGAAAAGCCTTATCGAATTCTTTCTTAACCAAAGTGAACATATTGCCGTAAAGAATATTAGGATCCTCATGTGTCCATGGCATTAGAAACATTTTATCATCAATATTGTTTTGAAAATTTTCTAAACGTTTATTTGTTACTGGTCTTAATTCAATGAATTTGGGCTTAGTAGTGTCATTTGTATTATATGTTATTTTTAAGCCGTAATGATCTGATGTGATACAATTAATAATTGATTTACTAACTGGATTATAATCAGTAAATATATTATCCAAACAAGTAGCTGAATGAGATGTTACTCTAGTAGGCTCAAAAAATTGATGTACCAAATTAAAACATTTGAATAGTGATGTTAGGCGAATTGACATTGAATTATTTTCAAGAATGTTAATATTGAAGTCACCAACTACAATCAAAAACTTATTTTTAGACTTTAACTTTTTTAGAACATTCTCCATCACTGATTCAAAAACACTAATGTTGCCTAGAGGGGGTCTGTATACACATACTATAATAAATTCACTGAATTCAACACAGGATAACTCAATAATACGTTCTACTGAGAGGCCAACTATGTCCTTCCTATCCCTAGTTTTTATATTTTTATTTACAAAAATTAATGTGCCACCGTGTATAGCTGCAGTACGAACATATGCACTTATCATTTGAAAATTGTTTATGCTAAAAGACACCTCAGAAGACTTAAGCCAGTGTTCAGATAAACAGATAACATGAATATCCTGGTTCTTTGCAAATAGTTCTAATTCTAAATCTTTGCCAGCCAACCCTTGAATATTCTGATAAATAATATTAATTTTGTTGGATTTGGCTGTTGTCGTACCCCTCAGTTTAAATTTGAGATGGTCACCCTATTTTCTAAATTAATAATTTTATTAGTGCTGACACTAAAACAATCCAGTTGCATAGACTTTGTTATACCATGTATAACTGAGTTTTGTATATTAAAAGCTAACAAAGTAGCTATCTGAGTCTTATATTTTTTTGCAAGATACATAGTATCTGTGGTCAACTTAAATTTACTAATATATTTATTTATATCAAAATATAAAAAATTGTCACTATGACTATTTAATAAATTATAAATTATTAAATTCAAATTAAAGATGCGCTTGTTTTGTTCCCTAGTTAAATTTTCTGCATATGGGAAAGCGCTTATTATTATTTTACACTTGCACCTAGACTGATAGTTAAGTAGCACCTCTATATTTCTATACATATCTCTTGCTCTTATTTTAGAGCTGTCACCACACATAATAACTATGTTTGTCAAACTGTCCGCATCATACTGATTCAGTTCACTTATAATGTCATTTATTGATTTACCTGGCATACATATATTAGTAATTCTTTCATTACAATAATTCCTTAACATTAATCCAAAGCCGCATCCTAACTTATCCGAGAACATAATTGTTTTACTTCTAGTTGTGTTCTCAGATAGCACTGGTTTGAAAGGAGAGGTACTATATGTAGTGCAGATTGACCTCACAGGGGAGTTCTTATATGTTTTGCAAGTTGACCCAGAACAGACAGATGAACCACCAAAATTTTTAACTGTTTGAGAATTATTATTATTATTAACAACCTCTATAATTTCAGATGATGTTGATTGCAAGGAAGATTGATTTAAAGAACTACTTAATTGATTTTTTACTAAAGACTCATAACGTTCTGCATTGTAGTTGCATAGTTCAACTAATTCAGAAGCTGATTTTATATGCTCACTTATTTGTTTTTGTGCATTTGAATATTTGTTAGATAATGTTTCTAGTGACTCATGTAAATATTGAATCTCTAAATGTAATTTCTTTGTATCACTGTCGTACACCTGCCTACTCTCAGTCAACTTTGAACTATATATATCTATAGAATCAATAAGGTCCATTCTTTCCTTCCTTAATGCTATATTTTTATGAAAACAATTATTTCTTTTAATTAACTTTCCTGTTCTTTTTATAAATTTACTAATGCGAATATACTTTTTTAGTTTTTTCTTGCCAGTTACACAGTTTTGTACAGCAGTGTTCTCATAAACAATAGGCTGTTGATATTGTGTCAAGGGCGCTCCGGGAGATGCCATTAATTCCTCAAAAAGGCTCTGTGTATGTGCTGTTTCCTGGAGTTGTTGAATTTCTTTATAATGTGCTAGTTGGTTATTTGCATCAATAAGTTCTTTTTCTAGGTCTGTGATACGTTGAAGAGCCCTCTCATATGTGTTGAACTGCTGGTCAAAGCTGTTGACAGTGTCGTTAAGATGGTCTCGTTGAAGAATCACTTCCATGTGTTCCGAGTGAAGTTGGGATAGTTCGCTCTTGAGCTGGGTGTTCCTTTGAATATTTTTCTCAATTTCCTCTTCACCCTCATCACGTTCACGAAGTAGCTGGCGACAAGTTTCCTTTGTTACCTTGAGTTCTTCCAGGGCTTGTTTCAATTTAAGCTCTGTACTTTGAACTGCAGCTTTGCGGGTCATCATTGTTATTTGTGTATAAAAATTCAATAAGCTGAAATTAATAAAAGAATATAAGTTTCTTTTTATAGTAATATTTAAAGCAAATAGAGTAATTAATGAGTTTAAATGATTATGAAAACAAAAATAGATAGAGATATTAAAAAGAGGGTAGAAAATAATACATAAAATATGTATTAAATTTTACTTTTACTACTTTAAAAATGATTAATTCAAATTGATCAACTTAATATCATATAATATTTTTAAGACCAATATCAAGTTTTAATACTTTTACACCTAATAACTATGTAGGATTTAATTTCCCAAATCTTAAATAGTAACTTAACTTAGCAGCAAAGTATAATAAAAAGTAAGTATGATTTGTTCAAACTTTGCTGTTGTAATACGTTGTCATAATAAATATTGAGAACAATACTGTATCAGAAGTGTCAAAAGATATTAATAACAGCAAGTACTATGATATAAGAACAAATTACACAGCAATAGGGTTCAGACAGTTATTTTCAAATGTACTGTTGTTAGTGTATAGCTTGTGAAGAGTAAGAGTATGGTGTATGACTGGAGCAAAAAGTCACCATCAAATTTTGCTTCCACTATTATGTCAAGCAAAGAGAGGTTTACTGTGCTATTCGTTTTGAATTGTGACGTTACTCACTGATTAAGTGAGTTATGTGCAGTAATTTGTTGAGGTTTTCCGAATTGAAAAACTAAATTATACACTTTCATTAATCGACAATGACACTCTTTCTTATAGAAAATACTGATAAAATAAGATGTACTCCCCCGGTTTATGATGCAGCATGTCACACTATTGTCCTTTTTCGTAATTATTCTTGAATTTTACAACTTTTTCTTCTTGATTTTGACAAGTAGGTAGTCGTTACAATATTTGTGTTGCAGTATTTTAAATGTTTACTGTCCAATTCTTGAGAAAACAATTCCACACAATATTTACTGTATAAACTACACTGTGAATCTATTTTTAAATAGAAATAAAACGAAAAACCTAATTATTTATAATTTTAAAACCAGCTGATACAAATTGATTGAATATTTAGGACATCCGATAAAAGAAATCAAATGAAACAATACCCTGCCCCTCGACCCGTGGGGTGATTTGTGTACGTGTTTATCATTGGACTCGGATAACAAAAACTTTGCTGTTGCATACAAATATGTGTACCTAGTAGTGAAACAAAGTTTTTTGTAGACGGTTTTGTTGAATGTTGAAATGTTTTTGCCGATTGTGTGGAGAAAAACACGTGTTGAAGACCCGGCTTTGGACTCTCAGGGCCCAGGGCCTTCGTAATATTGGTAAAACATTAAAGTTTTAAAAGGAACCCGTTTTCAGGATTATGTGAGAAAACTTTTACCGAAGACGAAGAATTATATCATCACCTGATTGTGCACGGCACCAACAATGATTTGTGTTGCAAGCTATGTGATTTCAATGGAGGGGATTTCGCCGACATGGTGTCTCATAGGTATTCATTAATTATATTTTAGACATTTTTATTTGATGGAATCTCAAATGAAATAACTTTTTTATTTGACCTGAAGATCGAATACGCAAGTTCATCATTTATTGCAATCATAACTATTTTCATACTTTTTATTACTAAGAAGTTGTCATACACTTGTTTTGTAGTATGTAAAGAAATAGAGTTGTTCCTCGCATAGTAAGTTAAAGCGATTGGAGTAAATGTGAAGATTTGTGTCGTATTATATGATATTTTATATTCTCCAGGTTCACGCATGCCTCAAAAGAATTCAAAGTGCAATTTAGGTGTCATTTATGTGATAAGCGTTTTGCTGTTCAAAAGCGCTTGCAGTTTCACTACAGGTCATTGCACTTAAATAAAAAAGGTGGAAAGTGCACTTTGTGTAGTAAACAATTCATCAATTATAAAAAGTGGGCAAACCACGAACGGCTCCATATAACAGAGGGGTTCATATGCGATATTTGTGGGAAAAGGTACCCTTTACTCATTGGTAGAATTCCTTGATCAGAAATTGACGGCATTTGTTAGATATTCATAATGTTTTTTTCTTTCCCAGGTTTTTATTTCGTCATCAAATTATAGACCACTTGAAATATCATAATGAAGAAAATAGTTTTATATGCGATGTGTGTGGTCGTGGATTTAAACGAAATAATAATTTAAAGGTATATTTAATAATTTGGAAATAAGAAAAAAGTATTTAATTATAATGAACTTACCCACCTTTACTCAAATATGCCTAACGAATTTTATTTTTAGCAACACATTCAAACGAGGCATGATTCCTCCAACGTTAAATGTACACACTGTAATAAAATGTTCAAAAATACAATGAGCCTCAAAGTTCACTTGCGGGAACTCACCTGTGAAAAACCTTACAAATGCGATGTTTGTTTAAAGTGCTTCAGAGCGCCTAGTCTTTTGAAGAGTCATATGGTATGGCATCAAGACATCCGAAGTTTTGCTTGTGGTGAATGTGGTCTCACTTACAAATCTAAACAGGGTTTGAAAACACATATGCTGAAACATACAGGTCATTTGCCACACAAATGTGTTCAGTGCACGAGATGTTTTGCGACTTCTTCACAATTGAAAACGCATACATCATTACATACAGGAGTACGACGACACAAGTGTCCCCAGTGTCCAAGGAGTTTTCATGGGAGAAAAGATGTGTTGGCACACATCGACAAATGTCGTAATGTTAAGTTCAATAGTAAATCAAAAAATACTGATATTATTCCAAGTATTGGTTAAGTCGTGTGGTATTGTGTTCCTACAATGAGTAAAGTCCCACAAGTTCTCCAGACGCAATTGAAAAAGGGTAAAAAGGAATGATAGTCCTGCCTGCTCTTCGGCCTGTTCGCTGTGATGACCGCTGCCAAGCGTGGCTGCATGTTCTGGTTCAACATTACCTTTTTTTTGTTAATGAAATGAAACAGATTGAGCATAATAATATGATGTGATATTGATAAATCTTAGTCTTTAGAAAACCGTATGTTTTCATGCGAAATATATCTACTCGTTGATCCAAATGTATCTAATATTACAAAAACCGTAATAATTGTAGAGTTGTTGGTTAAGATTTATCTAGTAATACAAAACCCTAATTACTTTTCATTTATATATTTTAGTTTGATTTCATAAACTGAAAGTTTTCGAGTAGGTGACGATTCGGACACTATATATTCGGACAAAGTTTTTGAATCAATATATTTTAATATAATTTTGACTGATAATTCTGACACTTATAAAATATCACATTGTACAGTCAGATAAAAACATCCAACGCCGTCTTAAAAATAATATGTATACACAGATACGGGCCTTAGCAGCCATGTTGTAAGGATTTACTTAAGTGCAGTACTTAGCGAAAACGCGCTCAAGCAGTTATTACACTCTACAATAAATAATCAGCGTACGACACACGACAGAGCCTAACTTAATTTAGTATTCACACTGCTTTAAATTTCATTGTCCTCGAAAGATATACGCCCAAAGCATGGAGCATGAAGAAGAAGTGGTTGTCCTGTTCTTCAAAAAGGGTGGTGACAAGGAACTTTTAAAAACCCTCGACCAATCTCACTTCTAAACCATGTTAATAAGTTGACTAGTTGCCCGCCCTCGCTTCGCTTCGGCGTAGAGCTATAATGTGGACTATAGTTTTTGTTCTCAGGCTTGTATTATACACAAGACTTGCTTTATAAAATTATAAACCTTGCGTGAAAAATTATTTAACTGATAGAGAAAATTTTGCTGCGTAGTTTAGGACCCGTTGTATAGAATGCATAATTGCTCTACTGTTATAAAAAATGAGTACCCCTTACCATTGGTCCATGCCCGTATTATTAAATGTATCTAGTGACGCAGTGGTTTGTACACACCCATCACTTTAACACTCACCAGCCAATCAATTAATATGTCCATTTCCCTCTTTACATAACAGAAGTTTATAGAAGAAATAATGACTCGTCCAGGCTACGCATGGGAGTATTGTATGGCTATGTAGTGGCGTTCTGTCGATATTATTGGTGGATTATAATCACTGGTTTGAGCTCCGTAATCCACAAATTATCTCGACAGAACGCGACTACATACCAAGATTGTTCAGGGAAGCGATTGAAATAACCAAACACAAGAATTTAAATCATGAATCGGGTTTAAATTGTCAAATGTCTGGAATCCACTGGTTCGTATGTGTGAAAACCGCAAAAATCAAAAAAGTGGCGTTCCGCGATCTGATACTGTGAGTATTGTGTGTCGGGAACAAGTGCGAATGAATAGTGAGAATGTGACCAGTGGTAGGGGTATCGAGCGCAGTAAAAGACGTCAGAAGGTAGACCGATATGTCTGCCAATAACATTTACCCGCAATTACTTCAGTTACTCCGTGATCATGGCCCTTGCAATAGTGTCGAAATATCGGAGACTCGGGTAATAATCCCATAAATAGCCATAAGGTTTTTTTATGTTTCAGTTTGATTTATCTAAGCCAAGTTTCAAAGCTGTCAAGCTAGCCAAACTCGTTTTCCCATACAAACTTTGAACCCCCTATATCACCCAATTCACGATGCCTACGTAATTTAAACAACCTATTTACTAAATATTATGTCTCTACTACTACTTGATACTATACGACTCATTTGTAAACTTATACCTACATATTTACATATAATTATCACAATTAGGTACTACTACACTAGTTATTCTTACTACTTATTTTATTATTAAGTGTACCTACCTACATTTAATAGGACGACGACGAACCTCACCTAACTAATGTAAAACCTAACTTTAAGTGAAATTGTGTTATCACATAATTGGCAATGTTTGTCTTTGTGAATAATAAAGATCTTTAAACCTAAACCTCTACGATCATCAGTGTAGGCGTGCGTTGACCCACTATTTAAAACTTCAACATGCTATCTTTGTTTTATTAGGGTAGTTTTGTAAAAATAAAACACAGATAGCATTTTTGTTTTAAACAGAGTAAGTGTGCAACATTTTAATCAATCCTATGAACTTTTAGATCATCTCCCATACAAAACTTTGACACGAAATTTTGTAATTTTTTGAGGGTAGTTGTAACATGCTTAGTGTACATCTGTTAAATAATGTTTATGCAAAATTTGCAGTTAATAAATAATAAATATTTCCAACACTCACACCAATTAGCCTAGTCCCAAAGTAAGCACTATTAAGCTTGTGTTATGGGATACTAGGGTAACGGATAGAATACATACTGTACATATATAAGTATTTTTTTATAGTAATACATATTAAACATCCATGACTAGAGTACAAATGCTCGTATTCATCACACAAACATCTGCCCCCACCGGGATTTGAACCCAGGACCTCTCGACTCGGCGACACCATGTAACCCGGCGTACAAACCACTCGGCCACGGAGGTCATCAAATAGGTTCAAGGGATAAGATTTTACGAACAAAAGTCTTTTGCAAATTTCACGTTTAAGAGGCTGAATTTCAAAAAATCCCATCGTATTACTTGTCTAGGAAATAATTGGAATCTACTGTCCAAATTTCGTCATTCTAGGTCCAGCCGTTTCGGCTGTGCGTTGATCAGTCAGTCAGTCTATCAGTGTATTCTTTACTCTTTATAAATTAGTATAATCATAATCAAAATCATTTATTCAGTTGAGGCTGTTACAAGCACTCATGAATGTCTAGAAGCTACGCCATCGGTTCGTAAATCTACGGCGGGAGACCTTGTACTGAGAAGAACCGGCAAGAAACTCAGCAAGGGCTGTTTTTTTCTCCCTGTTTTATTATTTACAGAGTCGTCAAATTGAAAAATGACTTCAGAGGTGATTCATGAAGTCACTTTTCATTACATAATTATTAAATATACATTAATTGTTTACCTGCATTTTGATTGCTGTGTCATACAGTATAAGTACAAATAGTGTTATTTATAGTCAGTGTTACTAAACATTAACTTCAATATAAAGGAAGTTAGGGCAGACTCACCTCCGCTGGCAGCACCTGTTCACGAGCATGACGCATGAACCAGCCATCGCTTCGCTCAACCATATTTTAGGGAACGTAACGACCCGCCTCACACGACACCGCCGAAGAGACTATTATGAGAGCATGACTAACTATTATGAGAGCATGACTGACTATAGATTTCGAGAGTTATTACGAATCGTCTCACAAGCAGGTTTGATGACAACCTCCCAAACGAGCTAAGTTCCGAAAACGAGTTAGTAACATAGACCATATTCATACGCTACGGATACAGATTTTACAGATAATCAAAGAGTATAATCTGCCACTTTGCTTGGCGTTCGTGGACTTTTAAAAAGCCTCCGAATCCATTGAGACCTAGCTGGTGTTTCAGTCTCTCCAAAATTGCCAAGTAGATCACAGGTAGGTCGTGGTGTTAAAGTACCTTTACGAATAAGTCACTGTCAATCTGATTACAGAATTACAGCACTAATCCTATCTAGCTGTAGTGGGGCGTGAGACAGGGAAATGTAATATCTCTGAAACTGTTCACATTTGAATTGGAGAAAACATGCGCTAAACTCCTAATACATATTCTATTTTAATACTTTTTATCTGTTTATTAAAGAGCTGCAATAATTTGATGGTGTCCGTATTGTCACAAAAAATATTAGACAGTGTCAATTCGAACATTGTGTCCCAATCTCCGAATATTTTTTGTCCGAGTTGACAGCAACTTGAATTCCGTTAACTACCTCAGTAAATGTATTATTATATTTATTTTAAGCATATAACTGCTAGATGTTTAAATTGAAATGAATGTTACTAGAAAAAGTAAAATACTAGTAGAAAAATAGCGCGTTGTTTCAGAATCAATTAGTAAGAAGCACGTTATTTCGAAATAATTCTTGTTTATTTCGCCAAGTTATTCCACAACAGTGTATTAAATCGAAAAATGTATTCATTTAGTTTTTCCCTCGTTTTGAATCGACTAAACTGTAATAATACTGCTTTGCAATTGATCCCACACATGAAATGATCAGTAGACCTACTCGCTAACTTTTTTGACATTTACAGTGTGTAACTAAAGTGAAAATTGCATATCCATCAATGCATTTCAGGACAAGTTTCTTATTGGCGTTATAATAAAGCAGGTAGTAGATCAGTAAATAGCTCGGTGATCATCACTTTCACCTGTCGAAACCTGTTAGAGAATCGAATAGGCGTACTGGTCATTCTCAACAACTTTGACTTAGTGCAGTGTTGATCTATATAGATACTTATAAATATTTCATCAAAGTCCGTTTTATCGTTAAAATATAACAAACATACATTACATAGTGTTGGAAACAATTATTTTTGTATCATTTAAAATGGTAATATTTCTCATCTTCGGTTCCTTATTTACGAGTATGTCTCTTTTTGTACGGTTACGATATTGCTGATTGTGTTAAAATAAAGTTAGTATCTCTGCAATCGATGGTTTACCTATTTACAACCAGAAACAGGAACATACAGTTCAATCCAAACGCACAACACATACAAACTTTCGCCTTTATAATTAGTAGGGTAGGATGCGTCTTAAGTTGTTACCACTCCAAATTAAAAGCACATGATTGTATCTACTTACAGCTTATCTTTATAAAAATGAAGACAGAACTATTACAGTTTGTTTTATTTTTGTAACTTTTATTTATCATGAATAACGATCACAAAATATTTGGACTATTTTCTTTATTACCAGAATTAAGTAAAATGTTTGAAAATATTATTTTTAGTTTTTACTCAGTTCTAATCCTACTTTTTAGAAAAATAATCTTTTACATCACAACCAGTTTTGCTTCACCAAATACAAATCTACTAGGTAACAATGAATAACCTTCTGAAACAAAATTTTGATGCCTGGAAGAGTACCTCATAAAGATGCAATTGGATTATATTGTAATTTTTCTAAAGCATTCGAATGCGTTGCGCCACGAAATTGTATCAAATAATCGGTACATTATGGTGTCTTAGTAAAAAAAGTTGACCTAATCAAATTAAAAGGATTCAAGGAATTATCATCATCATTAACCTATTAATGCCCCCACTGCTGGGGTACCGACCTTTCCTATAGATGGAATAGGGAGATTGGGCCATGGCCATTAAAGGAATATTTTGTATTGAAATACGACGTTCAATAATGGTCCACTTTTTCTTAAATCATATTATGTACTAAATTGAGCACTTGTTAATATATATTTAAAATCTTCAAAATATAGTTATATGTTCTTTATAATTACAACCTATAACCAGAGTATATACCGCATGACATGAGATCAGCATAAACTTAAAATCAATTAAAGCTCCAAGCACAGAAATTATATTCAAATATGTATCATATTCTACGGCTTCTGGGATACTAAATATCCACTTAAAGATAGCAGCGCAGTTTAGAAGATATAATACCTTCTCCTCTGAGGATGAAAATATAGTCTTGTCTGGCTGTAACACAACACATTATATAGATTTTTTTCTTTACCAAGCCCGGCAGCCATTAGCGCCAATTCACGGGGAAAATTAAATATTGTGAAAACACACATGTCCCTAAAACTAGTGACGATCTAGACGTAGACGTATTCTAATACTGCGATCTATATAAAGCTGAGAACAATCCTTAACGAGCTAACATTTGCTCGCTCGGTAAATGGAAACATCAGTACCTTTAGTAGTTACGAGTTCGAATTATTAAGGTATAGAGCAGCAAAAATATCTAATATTTTAACGACACACTATATAATTTTTTTTTTGCCATCTACTATATTTTTAGAGGTAACAGCGTCAAAAATACTATATTTCATAGAAAAAAAGTTGGTAGCCCAAGCCCAACCGTCTTCCGCGACTATGGTTGCGGCCACGACCACGTCGTCGTATGGAGTTGCATAACGATACGAAGCATATTTTACCAACTGTCAACAGACCACCCGCAACTACCTGCAATCACCGAGACGAGCCGGGGATGAGTGAATGTGTTGCGACGTCGGAGAGGTACACTAACTTGCGCAAGTTTTAAATGCTAATTTTCACACCACGCGATAGGCGTTTTCCCGCTTCAAGGAGCTGGAAAATTTCAATAACCTAATATTTCACGGAAATGATAGCAGAGTTTTACTTACGTAAGTACATTTTACTACTCTTTGCGTAGCTTCTTTTTTAGGGTTCCGAGTCAACAAGGAATCTTTATAGTTATTGTGTCGCTTCAGAACACAGAAAGAGGTCAGTCTGCATTGACGTGCCTATATAAACAAGTAGACTCCAGTGCCAATTCTAACAAAACTGCATCAAAAAACGCTCGTGCGGTGCTGTGTTGTAAATGTATGTACATCTACAGACAGATAGACAGTACTCATACAGATGACACACACTGTCAATCCGTGGCGTTGTAATCAAAGCGCGATCAAAACATGACTGTTTGAAAACTACGCACTATAGACGCGTCGCGTGTGCGTAATTTTGCTTCCGACTCACTCACTACCGACTCACTTTATGAGCGTGATTGTTAGTCTACCTACTTGTTTTTATACATCAATAATGTTTATCTGTGATATTTTGATATGATGATAAATTATATTATTTCGAGTCTTTATCTAGCTACCTACAATAAACAAAGAATAAGCTGATACTATTAGTTACGCATTGGTCTGCTTTCATCACACAAATGATATTTGCATACCTATACCAATAGAACACAATTTTCGCCATTTCAGTATAAATCTAAACGGCGCAGTGTGTAAAATCTTTGCCACGGTACCAACGTTCGACGCATCACCGCGGTCACGGTAATATTATATTATTACCGTGCCGCGGTCGTCGGTTCAAATCCCACACTTGTATTTTTATTCTTTTATATTTTTTTTTCTGCATAAATAAATATTTATAATTGCATAAGTTGATAAAAAATGCTATGTAATAGCTTTTATAGCAGTCCCCGAGTGCCACTCGTATTTTTTTTTTCCATAATATTTTTATTCAATTATTTACAATATTATGTCTCTTTAACTAGGTTATTCTTATTCAAATTTCAACGTGTTTAATAATATACTGTCCGTGCTCGAGGCTGCTATTTGATACAGCCAGGAGCGCGGGCAGAATTCTGAAAAAGGAAGCATAGAAGGATAGTAAAGATAAAAGTAGGTATACAAGAAAATAGGGAGGTGAAAAACAAAGTAAAGAAAAGTTGATTGGTCCCGTTAAATACTACTCGTTTGCTTCGAGTTGACCGTCGATAGCCAATCACAGGCACATCAACTAGTACCATCGCCAATAAGGTCGACTAATAGGGACTGTCTAAAACGCGGTGTTTTGAAGCTGCGTAATGAGATGAACAGACACAAAACACTGTAACTAGTTCAAGCTGTGGGTAAACACTCTCCCTATTCAACATCGACTCGTCTCATAAATAATAAAGTAATGACTTAATTCTATTTAAGTCAATACTCAATAAAAATCTTTCGAAGGTAGCTCGACAAAGTAAATAAACAATCATTATTTCTGAAGACGCAGTCCTGCAAAGGCTGCGAAACGTCAGATAAATAAATTTAGTGCATCTAACCCGTAAAAATTGTTTTATTTAATGAGTGACGTGCGTGAAAACCAAAGAAACAAATAGTTAAAATTTATGAAATTACTTTGTTATTTATGAGTAAGTATAAGGTTTTTAAGAATGTGTAGAAGCAAATTTTATTATAATCTTCAAGAAACTTTAAACGAAGGAAGGAGAAGGAGTTTGGGATACCGACAGTTTAATTCACATTTTCTCTCACAAGATAATCACTAGTCACCCTTGGGTTTTTTCTGCCCATAATATTCAATGAAATGCACAGCAGAACTTTTAATATGAGCCTATTTTGACATCGCATTTTTTACGCGATTCTGTCGAGACGCGATCCATCAAAGTCGTTTGCCAACGACTCGTTAGCATAATGAATTAGTGCCTCTTGACGGCGCGTCCCTCAGCTTTGCGTCGAGTTAAGCGTGCATCAAACACGTGTTTTTAGGCCGCTGCAAAATAATGAGATGATAATTAACATTGGGTAAAAAACAAAACTCTTCTTTTTCCAAGCGAAAGAAAATCATACAATATGCCAATTGCCTGTTTTCCAGTGAAAATAGTAGCTAAAAGCCTGGCGGATTGGCTACAAGTATTAGGTGAGATTCTATAGTCACAGCTCAACTCCTTAAGAACTAAAAAAAATGAATTATGGACCACATCACAATGACGTAAGTTGGTGACTTTGTTGTTGAGAAGTTGAGTTGCGACTATCTAATCGAAGAAATGTATTTGTTTACACCTAGGCACATAACAGAGAAGTAGAACATAGATGATTACCTGCTCGAATAGGAGCGTAACTTTCCACCTTAGAAAAAATCACGTGAAATGTACCGTTTGGTGATGTT